ATCTGTCTCTGTCTCCCTCTTATCCTCTGTGTTTCTCTCTATGGGTTTTGTTTCCTTGTTTTCCACTCTGACAAATGCAACATGAATGGGAAAGAGGCGCCCAGCTGCCCAGAAGGGCAAGCCAGGCAAGCCGGGCAAGGAGACCCCACACCCACACCTACCTCATTTAAGTGTTGGATTTTTTGCTGTTTTGAAATGTGAGACCCTCTCCAAGCCCCCTACTGCCCCAACCCTCTCCCCCACCTCACTGCCCTCTTCAGAGTGGGTGGAAGGGGGTAGGAGGAGGAAGAAAACAACAACAACAAAAAATCCATCTTTGTTTTTAATTCTGGGCATGGGATGGCGGCTGAGGTTAATGATGATGAAGATTGGGGATGACTGGCCCCTAGTTGCTCTAGGACTTCCTTCTCCATCTGGACATGGGGGTAGGAGGGATGTGCTAAACCTAGGACCAGGATATTTCCCTCCTGTTTTCCCAACCCCATCATGAGCCTGTTTGCCTGCCAGCCCCTGGATGGGGTGGGTGGGTGATAGAGGTGAGGGCTATCCCTGAGTGGCATGCCCATACCCAGTGAGGCAGGGTGTGGCCCAGAGCTCCCACTTTCCCTCAGTCACCAAACTGCTGCTGGTCTGGTGGGAAGGGGTGGTGATGTGGGGGTGGGGAGCTTAGTGTCAGCGCGGGGAGGGTGGGGGGTATTTATCTATTTATACATGGGATTGTATATAGTCTTGTGGGGCATGGGGGAGCCGGCTGGAGGTGAGAACCCTCCCCTCTCCCCCCACCCCCGGGGAGAGCAAATGTAAAACTACTAATTTTTGTGCTTTATATATTCTATATAAATATATCTATTTTCTTTTTACAAAACCAGTTTATAAATGGTAGGGGGGTGTGGGGCGGATACATGGAGCTCCCCTTGTGGGGGGGCCCCCTCCATTACCCAACCTACCGCCCTTTTCCTCACTCCCTCCTCCCCACCCCCTGGCTGTGACTGCTGTAAGATGGGGGTATAGAGGCTGGGCAATTCCCACCCCCTATTGTATAGTTGGACTACGTTATAACGCACAAAAGTGAGCTGGCCCCAGGGGGAGCCAGAGGGTGATGGGTTCCCTGCCTCCCTTTCCTTCCCCTTTCTGCCCAAGCTTGTGCTGCAGTTGAACCTCTTCCTGGGGTAGGGGTAGATCAGGGGGTGGGTGAAGCCCCAGACCCCTGTGTGGTAGGGAGCCATGGGGATGAAGATGAAGCTTATATGCAGTTCTCCTAGGGGCTGTGGGCAAAGGGCATTTTGTAATTAATATTTTCAAGAATCAAATGTATGGAGTGTAGGGATGGGCTTGGTGGTTGGTGGTGGATGGTTGGGCCTGCTGGAAGGGGAGCACAGTCGCTGTTGTGATTTTAGGTTTGTTTTTGTTTGTTTTTGAATTGGGGGATTGCGGATTGATGGGGGTAGGGAGATTTTTCTTTTTTTTTTAAGCTGCTTCCTCAACTGTTTCAAGCTGCAAATGTTTAAGAGAATAACATCCCTCCACCCTCACAGAAACCACTGTAATTAAATCAGACAGTGGGGAGACTGGGCTGCTGCTCCCAAAGCCATTTCCAAGAGCAAAAGGTCTAGGCTACAGGGATGGGGAGATTGGCTCCTGTGAGTCAGGCTCTGGTTGGGGCCTGGGCCCTGGGATTGGGAAAGGGGATGGGGCAGACTTTGTAAGCATATGCTAGGTATCCGATAGTCCTGTAGAATTTAGTAAAGAAACCTTATACAGTTTTTAATTTTTATATAAACTAACTCAGACCCAAGTTACAAGGTTGGAATTTTGGTTGTTGGTGTTTTTTTTTAAGTACCCCGCCTGTATAATTGCATCAGAATTCCCTCCTCCTCCCTCCCCCGTGATTGTATTTTGGGTTGGTTTACACTTGCACATATTCAATTTTCAGTTTTTCCCCCTTACAGTCTTCTCCCCTCACCTCCAGGACCCTCCCCCTTTTAAAAAAATAAATCGCTGACAAGTGTGAATCCCGTGAAGACTTTATTTTGTGTTGTGTGTATCCTGTACAGCAAGGTTGGTCTTTCGTAACAGCGGATGAAATGATTCCCTTTTAAAGTGCCCTCTCCCTCCACCCCCAGCGCCCCTGTCCTTGGCATGTTTTGTATCAGCGATCATTCTGAACTGTACATAATTTATGTTGCAAGAGGCAAAGGGCAAGTTTTGGATTTTGCTTCTTCCAAGTTTGTTTTTAAACGACAAATAAAAAGAGAACATTTTAAATACAAGTGGCTCCGTCCTGTCACCCTCGCCGTCAGCCCGATCCGTGAGGTCCGAGAGGACCCAGGGGAGGGCGCTTCCCAGGCCTGGCCGCGCCGGAAAAGTGCGCTCCGCGCCTTCCGCCCTTGCTGGCGTTTGTTCTGACGCAAGCGGAAGTGGCGTCGCGGTACCGGACGTGGGGCGGGGCCTCCCCCCTTCCCCAGCGAGCTTCTAAAGTGAACGCAGCCAGCGGGCGCCTCCTGCAATGGAGACGGTGAGGAGCACGGAAAGGGGACTGGGAGGCCGGGCAGGGGCGGGCGCCGGTGCCCAGGAAACGAGAGGCCGGGTGTCTGTCCTGCCTGTGACCCTGGCCCTCCGCTCCCTCGCCGGGCGCACCTCCGGGGTCTGGGCCGCGCGCCGTACTCCCAGCCCGAGCGGGCAGTGACACCCAGCTCCCTCCTCAAATTCCGCGCACACCCTGGCGATTTCAGGACTCCTTTCGCCTTAGCAGCTCAGGCCCCTCAGAGGTGGTGCTTCGGCTTTCCTGTGAGAGGCGGGCGGGGGGTCCCCCGCTTGCAGGCATCACCTGGCCCTGGTTGTCTAAGTGCGATCGCTGCGATCCCTGGCAGGAGGGACATCTGAAAAACTCACACTGCCTTAAGGTGTCCGACGAGCTCACATTCCCTTAATAAGACTGAAAGGTGGGGTTTCTCTAAAGGAGGGATTGTTCAGTGGTAGAGGCCGCTGTGTCCCTGGACAAGTTTTAGGTCATGCCCAGCTCTGCGATTCCAAGCAGGCATGTTGGCATTTCATTCTTGGCGAGCAGGCATTGACCAATTGTGGCAGGTCCGCCATCCTCCCCGGGATGCTGCAGACTGCCTGCTGCAGGGACCCGCCCTCACTCAGGAGCCTTTTCTAGCACTCTGGAACCCTTCCCATTAACTTCCTTCTCCGGAGCTTTTAATCACGATACCTGACAGGCAGAGTAATTCTTCCTATCTTGCTTTTTATCACCTGCTACTGTAGTTGTGTACAGGCTGCAGATTCACTGTTCTTTGGGTCAGTTACCTGCTCAGAGCAGTTATTTTACCGCATACTTTCTCTACCTGCAGAGAGGTCATGTCCCTCAGGTTATAAAGAAAAAAACAAACCGAAGTGGTAAAGTGATTTGCAATTGCTCCCCTAGGCAAGAGAGTCATTTCAATATACATATATATTTTTTTATTTCAGAGAGGAAGGGAGAGAGAGAGAAACATCAATGATGAGAGAGAATCATTGATCAGCTGCCTCCTGCATGCCCCACACGGATCAAGCCCGCAACTCCGCAACTCGGCATGTGCTCTGATGGAGAATCAAACTGTGACCTCCTAGTTCATAGGTCAATGCTCAACCACTGAGCCACCGTGGCAGGGCACAAAGTATTTTTATATAGATTTTATAACTTAACCCTCACAATTTTTGTACTGGATTAGGTTCTTGGGATAGAAATTATTTTAAAAAGAAAAAGAAAAACCCCTGTTTTTGAAGATGCTCAGCCTAACTGGAGTGGGGCTGAGGGCAAGCCAGTGACAGCTGTTATTTAAGGTAGACTATAATAAATGCTGTTTTCAGGAGGCAAACAAAGGACTGGAAGCATAGAGGAGGGAGAAATTACTGTGAACCTGAGAAGAGGACATTGCAGGCTTAGAGAACAGTGTGAACAAGGGCATAAAAATCCAGGTATATAGAGATTAATTGAGGAAGAGCCAGTGGCTTAATGTTGCTAGAGTTTGGGATTTGGGTCACAGTGAGGCAGAAAGACTGGGAAAATAGGCCAAGGTCGGGTTGAAGATATTGCATACCTTACTAAGTTTGATCTTCGTTTTGCAATAAGGGAACCCATGAAGATTTATGAGCAAGGCAGTGAGTGTGATTAAAGAATGTTCTTTTTAATATATATATACTAGAGACCTGGTGCACAAAATTTG